TATCCCTGCCTCCCTGCCTAGTGGGGTGAGTACTCAATCCACCTTGTGTGCATGGGGAAATCTGTTAGGGCAAATTCGCACTAGAGTGACAGCTGCCAAACTGCTTTAAACTCTCCGGCAGCTCTTCGTTCCCGACTGTGGTCAGGGGCAGTGTGCTGCGTGATTCAGAGCACCACACAGAGCTCACTTTTTTTTTTTGTTTGTTAGAAAAAGTTTACGAAAAAGTACATTTCCTTCATGTTACTGTAGAGCAGCACGATGCACTGCTGTACAGTGAAATGTGACTCTGTAATGAATACTGCAATAAGATGCAGAATGTCTACATGTTATCATAGCTCTGGGGTTTGTCACTGTTAATGTGACACACAGAAAACTATTTTCTGTGTCCTTGTGGTGACAGGCAGTTTACAATGTAGCAAACGCCTGTCAACACACTATGTGTAAATTCACCCTTAGTTTTTTTTCGTTCAGCCTCCTGATTGAAAAAGAAAAAAATATGGCCAGCTTTAGAGATATCCAAAATAATTTTGTATGAAAGATCTGGCAACAGTTTGCTTGTGCCTATACATCCAACGGTAGTTACTGTAATAATTTCAAAGGCCATCCGCATACTACTTGGAAAAGCAGCAGCAGGATCACCCTAGAAATGCGGTATTCATGCTGCAAGGATGTCATAAGATGCAGTAATTTGCACACAAGCACAATTAGAGAAAAAAATTCAGTGTGAGTGAAAGCAACATGAACACAACATGCTTGCCTAATTTGAATTGAATTGTACCAGTCACATTACACATTAAAGTTCAGTAGTAGTTTCTAAAGCATGTATGTGGAGGAAGCCAAAGATATTTTGCAGCTCGCAAACAACATGGCAATTATATCTGCACGAGAGCAATGAGTCTGCTTTCTGTATCTGCTGAAGTTATCTAAATTCCACAAAAGGGCCCATTTTTTGACATCTTATTTTATATTTATATTGACGAGCAACGGTTCAAGCAGTCAGAGACTTTCAATATCACACTAGGAGATGCTGGAAAATCTCCCTGAAAATGGGTCTGATCTTTTCTCTGCTGTGGAGAACAGAAAAGGATAAAAAACCACAACAGGTCCTACCATTCACACTACTTGTTCAAAAGACAGAAAACAGATATGCCCATCTACAGTACATCCATCCATACAAACTGAACTGAAAGCAAAGGCAGCAATATCTGCTCGCCAAACCACAGTAGCAGGGTGTTACTTTTATTCTTTATTTTTCTAAAGTAGAATTAATTTTTTTCATTTTGGATAGAGTAAGGGGGGGGGGGGGGGGGTTAAAACCCCTATCAATTCTCTGTGTCCCATTTTGGAGATTTTGCTTCACTTCCTCTCCCATAGCCAAAACAGGAAGTGAGAAGAAATCCCTCCAAAGTGAGGGAATCCCTGGTTGTCACCAGGGACTCCCAAACAATTGTAACCATTGGACAATTCCCCTTGATTCCTGGTGATAACCCAAAAATTCCCAAAATGAGATTTTCTTTTACTTCTATTTTGCTGATAATGGTTAACAAAATAAATAGAAAGGGTGAAGCTCCCTAATGGTGAAACGAACAGCAATAAACCTGTTCTAACTTCTCTCCACTCTATCCAAAACCAAAAAAAAAAAAAAGTTTTGACTTTAGCTATACCTTAAGGGGCCACAGTGTTGTTAAGGTTAAAGTAGCATAATGACAGCATTTGTAAAAAATATATACACTCCCTACCTAGTTTCACCTACCATCCAATATGTGACTATTGTGCTCATGCAGCTCTGAAAGGACTCACTAGGAATTTAGTGTCTTTCAGGTGAAACCACAGCACAGCGACACAGGCATCTAACACACGGAAGTATCAGGTGCCTAATTTTGTACCATACCATGTAGCTCTTGAAAGAGTGAAGAATCCATTAAATGGAGGCTATACCGGAATGTATAGTACATGTATGTTAAAGAGACACTTGTTGCTAGGCTGCTTGTATCCTAATGACAGTGCCTAATTAAGCTGATAAACATACTGTTACAGTGTTGGTCAGTACAAAACTCAATCATTCTGTTCTGATAGATATTGGTGAGCTTAACAACCCAGTGGCTTCTTTCATCTTGTAGACACTTGAGTGCTAAGGTAATAAATGTGTTAACAGAAATATATTGGAAAGTGCTGCTTTTATACATCAGTAAAAGTGAGAGGAAATCGTACAACTAAATAATATTGTCACTGACAAAACTAAAAATATAAGCTGGCTGCTAATGACAATGCTAACCTCCATTTTTACAGAATATCTTTTAACAAAATAATTTTAGACAGCGACAAATCAAGACAGGACAATATAAAAACTCACCGTCTGTTTTGAGAAGAGAAAGCAGGAAGAAAGAACAGAAAGCATAAAAAAAAAAAAAACAAAAACAGAAAATGCAGAAAAAAAGAAGAGCATAAATGTATATTCTAAGAAACAGAAAGACACAAAGGAATAGATTAGAACATAAATTAAGCAAAACAGGATCAAGAGTTAAGCCTTTCAACATGTAGTAGGAAAAAATAAAAAAACCTATGCACTAATCCAATATTCAAACTACTATTACGGAAGAAACGAACAGAATCAGTTTGATTTTAAAACATTTTTACAAATATCACTGGCTCTACAAACATCTTAAAGCAGCATTAAGCCCACTAGTTTAAGGCCTCGTTCACACCATGGTGCAGGAGTGTCAGTTTTTCTGTAAGCGTTCTGCAAGGGCACAACAAAACCAATTGTTCTCTCTGTGCACCGTTCACACAACACCAGTATCACCTGCAGATTTTTTCTGCGCAGGAATCTGCAACGTGTATAAAACTAATTGAAGCATGCATGAAAACTGATGTAAACTGATGTCTCGGCAAGTGAAAACTGCACGTCAGTTTCCATCAGTTTTTCTGCAAGTATAGTGTGAAGGAGGCTTTATGGTTTTCCAAAACATTTACATTCAAGGCATGCTGTGAATAGTAACTGTTAGGTCCCTTTCACACAAACGACCAATTAGGGCCACCTGTCAGTTTTTCAGGCAGACCCAATCAGACCCTCCATTCACCTCTATGGAGAAGCAGGCGTAAACAGACATGTGTCTGTTTACACCCACATACATCCAATCTGATCACGGACACATGGGGATCCATTCCCCTTCTTTCTAGCGATCAACCCTGTTCACATTTTGCGCTTGAGATAGTTTTTTTTTTTTTTTCGGGCTCCCCCCACCTACCCCATCAACTTCTGTTTTCTTGGAACGAGTCCCAAGTTGCAATCATGTGCACTGCTCTATACACACTACAAATCCCACAGTCCATACTCCATCTTGGCAATAAGAGAAGGTGACCATGTTCCTACATGCAGTGGAACCACTGAGAATGAACAAAATCACCATCTAAATGGAAAGTTATATTTTGGAGGTGGCCAAGAGCAATTGAAGATACTTAGGACTTTTTGGGTTAAGAACACAAATTTAAACAGATTTTTTTCTTAAACCAGAGTTTAGTGTTACTTTAAACATGCTATTACTGTCAGCAATACTTGTTAAAATGGAATAATGAGTACCGCAAGGGCACATTCTGAGTGTTGGTAGGTTGTGAGCACATGGCTGAAGCAGCCTGACAACCTCTCACTACTAAAGTTTGAATAGCAAACAAATAAGACCGTAAACTTAGAAATGGTTAGGCCTAGATCACACAAGCTTTAGCACGGTGTGAATACCGAGCCTTTGCTGAGCTTTCGGCAAGCTTTGTTAAAGTTTTTTAAAGCTGCAATTTAGTCAAAAAGAGGAACAGTACAAGACACAGAGTATTTGTGCACCATAGGCCTGTACCTTAAGCTGACTTAAGTGGACTTTTCCACTCTATAAATCCTCAGTTTTGAAGCAAGCAATGCAAAGTAAACCAAGGAATGGAAGGGAAGGTGGCTTCTGTCATGTACTGTACTCCAAGATAAGAAATTTACAGGTTGAAAATGCCTCTTATCTTAATCGTATAGTACAGGACACAGGCAGCAAGTCCATATGCAATGGGATGCAGTATGCCCACAAGCAATGTATAGGAAGGGTGGGTAACAATAAGGCAAACACAACTGTTTGAATTACACTAATTGGCCCTTAAAAATGTTAGCTCGTATGTTTGGCCTTATTCTATATGGTTTTTATTTTTGTAGGCCTTGTTACCTCATTATTTACCACCTATATTCCTCCAGATGGCCCCTCCTTTGTTTTAAATTGAGTGGCCTCGGCATCTACTCGGTAGACTCTAGGACCTCTATTTCTTTAACAAACTCAGTATCTCACATGTAGGCATTTGAAGCAACTGGACTCATGACATGATTATACATGTATGGACATGGTCCAACTATATATTAGTATGGTATAACATGTACCTGTATTTTTATTTGTAACATAGATTTTGTATTTCTCAGAGAGCCGCTGCAAGAACCTTGCAGTCAAAAGCTGCATTGGCAGACTGGATGTCCACCTGGTAACAGTAAAAGCACAGGAGGAGGTTTCTCTTTAAGAACGTAAGCACTGGCAATCAGATTTCATACCAATCATGCAATGGTGGATTTTAAAGCAGGGTGTCCCTCTCCAAATTGCTGGACAGTAAATTCTGTCCAAGCTGATTTGGTTCGCTTCCTTCAAGGCAGCCAAACCCTGATTGGGCGCTGCAGGGCCAACCTGACTGCTCTAAACTCCAAGAAAATGGTGGGCAGCTTGGCTTCCCTCAATGACTGTGTTCTTTGGACTATGGCAAACTGCAACAGATGTTTCCCCACTCTTATGATAGAGATTGCCCCTACAATGTAAAGAGGATGTTGGGGAAGGGTTTCTGGGCTTGTTGGGTCAAGCCTTGCACCATGAGGAAGAAGAAGTGAACTTAGGTTTTGAAGTTGAAGCCTGATTAGAGTGGTGCTCTGCGACTAGGAGATCTTGAGGAAAGTGGTATTAGAACCTTCCACTGTGTAAGTAAAACCCTCCCACCTGTGACTTTGGCCACTCGGTCACGTGTTTCACCAGACATCTTCCTTGAAGAGGCATACATTTGAGAAGACCTTTGCAGACACTTCAGTTGTCCAAGTTTTAGCCATGAGATTCTGCACGTGAATGGATATTAGAGCCTTTAGGAAAACTTGTCACATGACATGTTCTAGGACATCTACAAAGAAAAGCAAAGCAAAAGGAATTTGCTGCAATTGCTCTGTAACAGCACTATTCTGAAATACAGGTTTATGCTGGTTGTTCATTGTCCTAGTCCATGAACAGGAAATGTTTTATAGGTCTCCTTGTACCCGAAGGGGAACAGCAAAATGGAGGAGAGTCAGGTTGTACAATGCCAAGGCTTTTGCGAACAAAGGCAGTGAGCTTTTCAAAGCTAGCAAGCATGTTGCATGATTAGGTGAAAATCTGGGGAAGAAAATACTTCCACAGCTTCCTCCAGTGCTACCTCAATATCCTCTTCATTCTCTTCTGTTTCTGCATCCTCTAGAACTGGAATATCGGGTTCCAAGTCCAGGTTGAGAAACAGGAGTAGGTGAAAGGCCTGGTGTTTTTGATCCCTGGACAAAGATAGCGCATTAAGGCCATAATCTGTTCGAGGAAAATTGTCAAATAGGCCACTTGTTGCATGCCTGAAAGCGCTAGAATCAGATGCTGAGACCAGTGTTAAAGCTGGTTCTTGCTCTAGGATCCATCTATACATCGTCACTCTGAGGTTGAGTGTTGTGCGGTTCTTTGGCAGAGTCAATGTTTTCCTGCAATTTCAAGTTGACTCTCTTTCACCTGTTCTCCGCCATAGCTACAAATGAAGGTAATCCCCTGTGGGGTACTCATGGAATAGGCTGTGGAATAAAGTGTGTGTCTGTAAGAAAAGTGTGGTAACCCAGGTGCAGAAGTAACATTAAAGTGTGTGACCAGTGGTGTGATGTAACACCCAGTCATCCACCTGAGACTGAGCTCTGAGTGTTTGCATTTTAGCACCAAGCTGGAAAAGTTTACACTGCGAGGTGAATTCAATCCAAACAGAGCATAGCTTTTACAGAGATGGTCAAAGTTACAGGGTGACCCTGTCTTACCTGTCCGTGATGCTGGACTGTAAATAAAGTCCATGCTTCACCAGTCAAGGTGGACATACCTCCGAAGGGGTTTTCAGGGAACTGAGTTCCACAGCAATGCACCACAACACTGGACCTGTATAGTACCCTGCCGACAACTCATAAAATTGCCCCGAATGCCAAAAAAGCTACCATGCAGGATCTGGTGCCTGATGCAACATTACAGGCCATCCCTACATAGTGTGGTCCAAGCACAGCTTCCAAGGTATAACCAAGGTTGCGTTGATCTGGATACATTGCTTCTGTGCTGGCATAAGAAGACAGTGAGGGCCTGATCGAAGAATGGCAAGATAAAATGACAAAGAAAAATAATAGAGTGGTTAAGCTAATGAAAGATCCATCACCTTCAGGCTAGGGATGCACCGATAACGATACCAGTATCAGGATCGGTGACAATACAAAGTATTTTCATGAGTACTTGTGAAAATACTCCAAATACCTTAACCAATACTTTGCTGTGCGATTTGCGTTAATGGGCACAAATTGCACTGCAAAGATTAGCATGCAATTTGAACAGGTTGTCATGGCCTGAGTTCACACAGGAACTGTGTGGGAAACCTCCCTGCAGGCATCCCATGCGGAGTCTCAGTGGTAGGAGAGGAAAGTGTCAGGGATTTTAAATCTCCACCACTTTCTTTCCTCTCCTTGCAGTGATGACAGTTCAGGCTGAAGAAGGACTTTTGATTGGTCAACACCGTCACATGGATGGTGCTGACCAATCAGATGCCGTCTAGCCCGAACTGTCTTCTTTCCCCTCCTTGCAACAATGACAGTTCAGGCCGGAGGACTTTTGATTGGTCTGCACCGTCACATGGGGACGTAAGAGTAGGGGTACATCTGTTGCAGTTTGCCATAGTTTAAAGAATACAGTCAGTGAGGGAATCCAAGCTGCCCATCAAATCCTTAGAGTTTAGAGCAGTCAGGTTCGCCCTGCAGCACCCAATCAGGGTCTGGCGGCCTTGAAGAAAGTTAACCAAATCATCTTGGACAGAAATTTATTGTCCAGCAATCTGGAGAGTGACACCCTTCTTTAAAGTCCACCATTGCATGATTGGTATAAAATCTCCAGCGCTTACATTCTTAAAGAGAAATCTCCCTCTGTGCTTTTAGTTTACGTTTTGCCAGGTGGACATCCAGTCTGCCAATGCAGCTTTTGACTGCAAGGTTCTTGCAGCGGCTCTCTAAGGTTGGGTCATCTGACCCTTGTTGTGACATGAACGGTGCTGACCAATCAGATGCGTCTTGCCTGAACTGTCATCGCTGCAAAAAGAGGAAAGAAAGTGGCAGGAATTTCAAATCCCCGCCACTTGCTCTCCTCTCCTACCACTGAGACACAGCATGGGATGCCTGCAGGGAGGTTTTCTGCACCGCTCCTGTGTGAACTCAGGCTATGACAAGCCTGGGTTCACACAGGAGCAGTGGGGAAACCACATGCAGTTTGGACAGGAATCGCATTCCTGTTCAAATAGCATTCTAATCTTTGCAGTGCAATTTGCATCCATTATTGCACATCGCACAGCAAAGTATCGGTAATCGGTTTTGACAAGATCTTAACCAAAAGTAATAGGTACTCATACTCACCGATAAAAACTGATATCCCTACTTCAGACACTAGCATAAAACCGAGGACTCACAAAACTGGGTAACGTTATAGGGGAGGCATCCAGGGGGTGTAGCCTCTAAAGCTTTGCCAGTGTCCATTTAGGACTGAAGTTTCATGTCTACAACCCATGGTGTACGAATACTCTGCCTGTCTTTTACTGCGCAACTAACATAACAACTTAGCCCCTATAACCGTAGTCACATCACTTACCTGTAATGAAGGATACCCCAAGTCTGTCAGGCAGCTGAATCCTGTAGAAATCTTCTGTGTGGTGATGATAGGTCCTCCTACTGCTGGACTTCCAGTTCTGAGGGATTTAACAGCTCAGAATCTTCTATGAACTGCAGCAAAAAAGTTCCCAGCAGTGATCCATTCATTCTTCTCTCCTATCTCCATTGAGAAAGCCTGTGCACTGATCACACTGAATGTAACACAATCCGTGAATGGAGGAGAATCTGATGATTGACAAGATTCTCTTCCCCATTCACAGATTGTGTTACATGTATTGTAATCAACGCACAGGCTTTTCTCAATGAAGGAAGGGGCCATCCGCCTTAGGGAGTTTTGTCATTGCAGCTCACAGAAGACTCAGCGTTATTAACTCCCTTAGCACCAGAAGCTCAGCAGCAGGAGGACCTGTCATCATTGCACAGAAGATTTCTACAGGATCCAGCTACCTGACAGACACAGGACATACTTCATTCCAGGTACGTGATGTGATTGCAGCTATAGGAGCAAATTATTTTTTGACCAAACTTCAGTACCATTTAGCACTAGGGAATGTTTAAACACAGACCTTAACGGGAGTGCTGACTGTTGCTTTAAAGAAGCTTCTAGCAGGCTTCAGAAGGTTTTCAACAAGCTTCAAGCAGTACTGAAGCCTGCTAACAGCTTGTTTAAGTGACAGTCAGAGCTCCCATTAAGAGCTGTGTTTAACATTTTCAAACAGGAGCAGAAGGTACCTTAAAGGTTTCAAGAAAGCTTCTCGAAGCTTGCTGAAAGCTTTGATCAGATAGCTAAAAGCTTCATAAAATCTTGCTGGGCACACTGCTCTTATACAAGCCTGTGTGAACTAGGCCCTAACAAGCAGCTGTTTTCAGACAGACACTGGGATGTAGCCTACAGTATTTGACTTATGTTCACCTCAAACTCTCCTGTTCAAAATAATGGAGCTGTTAGCATGCACTTGTCAAACCTTTTACTACTATTTACTTATTGTTTTTGGTTTTACCAAACTTTGGATACTTACCAATCACTTACCAGATGACAGGACAATGTTATAGACATTCAGTAATTGAGAGAATATATAATAAAATCCTAAACTATGGGGCATATTTATAAAGCAGTGGATGTGATATTCACTAAACATTCAACACAGGTAAATCTATTGCTGTAATGTAATTTAAATCACACACACCAGGAAAATGTACCTGCACTGACTGCTTAGTGAATGTCACATACACTACTTAATAAAATATATCTTTTTTCCAAACTAGGGCAAACTTTAGTTTCACATGGAATATCCCACTGACGTCCTACTGCTGTTCACATGCTAATAGTATGAGGGGGTCAAAAGTTAAAAGGAGCTCCAGCTTTAGGATAAGACTGTACAAAAACAGTAAAAATAGCCAGTTCTTGCAATTGTTTTTATGTGGTAAAGCCCACAAAACTGCTCCCTCAAAATCAGTACCAGATATTTCCAGTTTATATATAAACGTGGAATATAACATTTTAACACAAAGCAATACCATACATTGGAAACCATAATAGTGACAAAGAAGAAGAAAAAAAAAAGCGTTAGAACATTTTTTTATTACTGTATGTCACAAAGAATTTACAGCAAGCTTTCATAATGATAGTTACCCATCGACAAAATGCAAGTATATAAGAGAAGACACACAGTACACTTGCAAATAACTGGTGTTTCTTCTTAGAGAAATGCAAGGAAAAGCCTGGGACTCCAACATTCCACATGAATGGAATTGAGTAAAAACATCTGACCTGGTGGCCCTGATGAAATAATGCTCTTTTCAGTTCATTGCAAATTCTCCACCACTACCCACCACCGCCCCTCAGGAACATTAACCCTGCCAGCAACAAGGAACTACTGCAAAAAAAAGCCTTTTCAGAAAGTCTGAGAAAACATCAACAGTTTAGCTTTCTATAAACTCCACTGAAAAGATACAAGACAGCCTCTTACTCAGCTTAATGAATGGAACATTTCAGGACTTCAGATTCCAATGGTCCAGCTGTCACTTGAATCTTGCATCATTTTGTTCAGCCTCATTTATTACCACCACTATACTCTTATGCAGGGGATTAATGTAT